AGAGGTTATTACGTTTTTTCTTTATTTTTTTCTGGAATTTAATGTTTTTTTGGGGGATACATAAAACATTTTTTTAAATGTTTTTTAAAAATAATTTTATTTTTATAATTTCTCTTCTTCTCTTTTAATTATTCTTTATCATTTTCCATGTTTTCTCTATATTTAGACTTATTTTATGAGTTAATTTATTTCTACATCATGATACTATAAAATCAATTATAATAACACTTTATTATAATCTTATGATTTCTTAGAGTAGAAAATTTTCATAAAAACAGAATAGTAATGCAGTTTTTAGAAACGACTGTTTTTAAACAATAGGAGGCTTCTAAATACTCCATCACTACTAACTATTCCCTCAATAAAAGTAAACATTTTACACAAAAAAAAATAATACGAAAAAGTTGAAGTAGGCTTATTTTACATATAATGTCATGTTTTATTTACTCATTTCAAAATAACGATTCAAAAAAGTTTTATAAACAACAGCATTAATCATTTTATTGAATTCCAGTTTTATAAATGTTTTATTATAACCATTTTCGTGAAGTAATGCTTCCTTAAAGTATCTATATATCAATGTCATCGATTCACCAACAGGTTCGTAATCTTTCCAACTAAAAAATACATTTATCATAAATCAGGCCAAATGTTGAATTCTCTCTATTTTTGTAAATGAATACGGGTTGAGAATCGGGATACGTATTTAATCATATCATTTTTTGGGTCACAAAAAATGATACCCGCATTTCCTACTTGGTTACATTTTTTGAGTCATGGTTAATTATTTTATGCGTACATTTTTTTTTCTAAAAAAGAAAACAAAGCAATTATTACACTTTCCGTTTATTTAAAACTAGTATGTTTTTTTAAATGGCGCATTAATTTCAGATTTATTAAAACAATCTTTGTTGAAAATTTTGATAAATTAATAAATTTATTTAAAAACTGAGGAGAGCTAAAATAAAGACATTTTTTTTTTTGATTAAATAGTTTTTTTTTCACAAATGAAAATAATATTCCGAAGGGTCTTTACAAGTTAAATTCCCTTTAATTAATGAAAAGAGCCTTTAAATATCTTTAAATATCTTTAAAGAGTCTTTTTAGTTTATTATTTATTAATTAAGCTCTGATTCAGCTCTTAATTCAGGAGAAAGAAACTAGTTTTTATTTTTATATTTAACATTTTAAGTTTTTAAATAATGAAAAATACAAAAAATTTGAAAATTTTGCAAAATAAAATTTATGAAACTTCTTAATAGAACATACTTTAGAAATTGTTCAAGAGAAATTTTAATCAATACAAGCAAATGATACATTTAAAGCGTTATTTTTCGATAAAATTGCATAAGAAACTATTATTAGAATTAATTTAAATTATATTACTCAGGAATAACTATTTTACCTATTAATACCCAATTATCAATTTTTAAATAATATTTTGTATTAATTACTCTGTAAAAAAATTCTTTTTTTAAAAAGAAATAATTCAATTTATAGAAATTTAAAACGTAGCTGAAGCTGATAAAAAAGTTAAAAAATATTAACTTTTGCAAGATTTAACAAAAAGAACTGTTCTCACAATCGTATCGCTTATGATATTTGCTGCCTACAAATCAAGGCTTAACATATAACTTAACATATACTTAACTTATAAGACATGACAATCTTAACTAAAAAGTAAAAAAATCTTATGACCCTAAAGTTATATCTTTTGCAGTCGAAATAGACCAAAATTTGATTAAAATTGCTTACAGTTAAAAAAAAACATTTAAAAAATTTTTATTGCTGGAAATAAAAATTACTGATGCAATTTTGTTGATTGCAGTAGTGTAGTACGAAATTTTCGAATTATAAATTAATTTCTTTACCGTACCAATGGTATAAAATATTTAAAATTAAGTATTTCTAGTGAAGTAAAAAAAATATGAGGTAAATGTGTCATACTTATATTAAACATTTTGAATTTAATATTGATAATTTTGTGTCGCTGACAAAAGATATTAACTTATAATTTTAACATTTTATTATACTTGATGAATGCTAAATACGCACTCAATTTTAAAACTCACTTCACCAAAAATTATTAAATTCAAAACACATTTTTTGACATTAATTTTTTTTATCGCTTAATTTTCTTTTAAAAAATCGAAAAGTTAATGAATTTTAAGGTGCTAATGCTTTTTCATCATTTCAAATTTTGAGCGGTCGAATAGTTTCTGAAAAAATGAAAGTTTATAAATTCTGCTTCATGTATCAATCGCAATATATTTCCTCAAATCTTATTTACTACTTTTAACTTAACGCAAGAACTCGTTGGAATTTTAAACCAAAATTTATATAAAACTTTTCGAACTGCTTTTAATCGATGTTTGCTTATTTATTTTGATAGGATAAATAATAAACTCAATTGGGTTCGAAAGTTTGAAAATTTGACTAAAAAGAATCGAATAGATGTTTAACTTACCAAAAATATCTGTTTTAGAAGTTCGATAAGAATTTTAAGTCTTTATAATATTATTGATATGCTTTCTTATTCAGGCAAAATATTCATAATTCAAACTTTTCCTAGAAAGATTTTTCTGTCAATTTGTGGATATTTAAAAATGCAAACTAAAAATTAAGAAAAGATTACGAAAAGTTACTTTTTATTTAACATATTAATAATTTAAACAAAAAAAAAACTTGTAAATCTTAAAACTATAGTTGTTTCCTTATATTTTTCAGACAGTATAATAAAAATAACTGTTGTTAAATGATGGTCAATAAAAAAGATTAGGCACTGCAAAGCAAGGCTTCTAAAAATTAAGCAAAATTGTTTAGAAACAAATATAGTCGAATTTGAAAACCCCATGTACTCATTATTGAGTATAATACCAGGCGGGAAAAGACAATTACTTATTTTTGAGCAAGCTTCACAGTCTCAAACACTACACAAAATGTTCCTATTTTGAGAAATTTGTTGTTTGAACGAAAGTAGGCATAGTCACAAAAATGTGTACATTCTTATGTTTTGAGCTTGTCTCTATAATCAACAATGAGTACACGTGGTTCTCAAAACTTAGTATATATATTGTTAAGTTAACTTTATATGGAATAATATTTGCTCCATTTTAACCTATATATAAGCTTTAGTAACGTTTCCTTATTTAACCTTGTGTAAACATTTCGATGGATGTTCACTTTCAATGGCATAAAGAACTAAAGTAAATCCTTTCCTGTTTTAACTTTTCTTTAAATACGTTTTGCTTCTGTCTTTAAATAAGTTGTTTTTATGGCCACAAACAATGCCATTGCCAAGGTAGTCAAGTGGCGCTTTAACCTTTATAGAACAATAGCCTTCTTGTTCGAAAAAGATCCACGACATTCTAAAGGAACCCTATACTCTAGATCGAAATCTCTTTGGGTGCAAGCGATTGTTTACATTCTATCCTTTCTTCTTTTATTGGAGACTATGTTTAAGTCCCAAAACTTTGCCACGCACTAATGGCTCTTGACATAAGTCATAATTATGTCTCCAAAAAGATTCTTATTAAGAACACAAAGTGACAATCAAAAGTGCGCCAACAATTGAATCTCATTATGAGAGCTGTCGTTTTTCTTGGCGAAGATCAAAACCCTGTAGCAATAGGTGAAGAAACTCTTTAAAAAATAGGTCAGTAGAACGAGAAAGGATCTTGTAGTAGTTGTTCCATAAAAGAGCAGACGGATGTTCACTCAACTCAACTCGCATCCTTGAAAATGGTGTGGAATATCACTGCCAAGGCCGATCCACCGTTTTTTTTATACTTTTTGTATACTACTAATTAATATGGAATATTTTTTATTAGTTCTTTAATTGTTATTACTGCGTGTTGATAAAATAAGAAACGGTTAATTCCGTAAAATTGAACGCGAATTAAATCTAATTTTGATTAATGTCGTTTGATTATTGTTAAGATTAGATTTGTTCCAAAAGGTTCTATTCATTAGAAGTGTCAAATTTTTTTGAGTCGCAGCTTAAAAACATTAACATTTTTAATTTGAATTCAATTAAATATGGCATCATAAAGAAAAATAATTAACTTTAAATGAACGATTATCCAAGTAATTTTCATGATTAGTATTTATTTGTTACAAGAAAAATTCACCGTCCTGCAATTATATACAACAAATCAATATTAAAAGTAATTCAAGAGTAAAAATCAACAGTTTAAAGCTAAAGTAAAGTAATTAAAGACAAAAGGAAGAATTCAAGACTTTACACACAAATGTAATAGAATTATAAAGTTCATTTCGCTCTTAAACAAATAATGTATTAAAACTAATTAAAGCACACAGTTTTAGTTGTTGTGGTTATTGTTTTTTTTTTTTTTGTTCATGAAACACACTGATAACAATAAACAAGCACTTTTAAATAGTTCATTCTAAAAAATTATAATGTAAATCTTAACTATGTAGAATACTTCAAGATTAACTCCTCGATTAACTTTTCCAAGATTAACATCAGAACTCTAGAAGAATACTCCAAGATTAACTTCAAAATTAAACTCCCTGTGCAATTCTGAATAACTTCTAAAGGACTTTTGTTAATTTTAAATTTAAGGTATCTGAAATCAGTACTGCCCTGGAGTAGCTGCCACATTATTATGAAATAATTGTCACAATTGTTATGTAAGCAACGTAGAACAAAATTATTATTCAAAATTAAATATAATTACCCCACCCATAAGCTACATGAGACGTACGGACATATTTTAAAAATCTAATGACAAACAAGAAACAAAAAATAATTAATGATTATCAGCAAAAAAGAATTAGATTTCGATTAATGGAAAAAACATTAAAATCTTTTGAGGACTGATTTCAAGGGTCAGAAACTATAGCTATCTGAAAAACAACTATATCATAAGTGGTACTCTGAAAATAATAATTATAACAAGCTTAGTTTAATTTACATTATTATCAGCCTAAATAGTATTATTATCATCGCAGTTAATTTTCCTTTATTTTATATGCAGGTTTTGGCCAAAGAAATAGACAGTGCTCAAGATCTACAACAGGAAGAATCTGTTAATCTTCCTGCCGAACACAGAGGGGACTATGGGGGAGAGTTTGGAGGAAATGGCTTGGTACCAGGACATGGCCATGATCCATGGCCAGGTGGCAGACCAGACATGGCCCAAATCAAAGCCCTCAATGTTAAATGCGAGAAAAATCACATGAAAGTATACATCGAATTCGACCGACCCTTTTATGGAATGATCTTCAGCAAAGGCCACTACAGTGATTCAAAATGTGTTCATCTCCCTCCCGGCACCGGACATCTCGAAGCTAAATTCGACATTTTCTTGGGAGGGTGCGGCATGACAAGTAGCCAAAGTAACGGTTATAACTTACCCGCTGAACAGAGCACAGGCTTGTTCATAGAGAACACCATCATTGTTCAATATGATCCACAAGTGCAGGAAATTTGGGATCAGGCCAGACGACTTAGATGCACATGGTATGATTACTACGAAAAAGCTGTTACTTTTCGACCTTTCCAAGTCGACATGTTGGACGCAGTAACAGCCAATTTTCTTGGAGACAACATCCAATGTTGGATGCAAATCCAAGTTGGTAAGGGACCCTGGGCGAGCGAAGTGGCTGGAATCGTAAAAATTGGTCAAACTATGACAATGGTACTAGCCATTAAGGATGAAGAGAATAAATTCGACATGCTGGTCAGAAACTGTATTGCCCATGACGGTCACCACCAGCCTATTCAACTGGTGGACGAATATGGCTGCGTCCAAAGACCAAAAATCATGAGTCCCTTCCAAAAGGTTAAGAACTTTGGATCGTCGGCTTCAGTGGTATCGTTCGCTTACTTCCAAGCATTCAAATTCCCCGATTCAATGAATGTGCACTTCCAATGCGTAATTCAAGTTTGTAGATATGAATGTCCAGTACCGCAATGCGCAGGTGATCTTGGTGCTGGATACTTACCAGCACCACGCGATCCTTCTTACACGGAAAACAAAGTAGTATCTTATTCCGGACCTGAAGGTCATCCGGATTCTAATCATCAAGCACTTTTAGGAGCAACTGATCATGATGGATCCCTTGGACACGGATCACTTGACCATCATGGAGATCCTTCCCTTGTTGGAAATAAGGACTATGCTCCTGTCTTCTTCAATCGTCAAGGAGAGCAAGTACCTGCTAAAGGTAACAATGTTCATATAGGCAGTGGTTATGGGGTAGCAGGTACTGGTGGTACACCGAGGGCTCTTAAAGATCACAACAGGAAAAGACGTCAAACGAAAGAACAGATGACGGATATTTCGACACAGAAGGTCATTCAGGTCGTGGCACCTGGTGACGTAGCCTTCAGCTTGCCAAGCGACGAAAAAGAAACGGTGGTATATGCCAGCAGAGCTGAAGGTGAGGGCGTATGCATGTCCATCCCCAGTTTTGCCGTAGGACTAGTTTTCCTGTTGCTTCTACTTGCCATATCTACTCTCGTGGCAGGATTCCTGTTCATGAGGGTCAAGCACCTAACAGCAAAAGAAGATAATTCTATTTCGTACGATAACACAGAGTTTTTAAAGGTAGCAGTGCCAATGGTTCACTAACGCTCAAACTGTTTGCTTTAACATTTAGAAAGATAGTCACTTGTTGGAAGCAAGTAAATGATTGAACTAATATTGTAGGTGCTACACTACCTCGGTATTCAAGTTAACTGTTTATAATTTAAAAAGTTGTGTGAGTTTTACGTCTAAACCGTTAAAAACGAGGTGATTGTTTTTGTTCGCATATATATCCAGTGATTTCACCTCCTGGTCCAAATATTTATGTTTATTTATTGACTTGGTGAATCGATTGGATATCTGAAACTATCCTGCACTCATTTCAATTTCAAAAAACTCTTTTTACATATTTCCTTTAAAAGGAAAGTTCAAAAACATTTCTAAACACGCACTCGTTTTCTTTTGTTCGTGGTCTTCAAACTCATATGGCTTAACTTCTTAAAGTCCTGGATGGGGAAAATAGTTAGGTAAGTGCCTCGTGATATTTTAGGGAAACTGCACTGCACAAACTCCTGCACATAGTCTGTATTCTTAAATTTTTCCTTTTTATTTCTTACGACATTCTGCAAAAAAATATTAAAATAAAATTTTTAATTAATTGCTCTATTTGCATAGCCAACAGGATTTATAAACCATTTTCTTTATGAATCTTAGATTATCATATTTCTACCTACTATTTTTTCATAAATCTAAAAGAAAAAATTGATAATCTTGATCAGATTTTTAGTTTAGTATACGTAGCATATATTCGTAATATATTTTCGTACATCTTATATATGAAATACTCATTTTTCACGATCATTTTAAAATAACTATGTAGGATTTAAAGTTTTAATTTTAAAATAACTGATAAGCTTCTGATGTATGTGAAAATCAGGACAAAAACGAGTTAATTTCCAGCAAAGGTACACTAGCGCCCTGGAGGCTTTGGTGACATTTTTTAATATAGTTTGAAATAGATTTTTTAATTTATATATTATTTCATTTTCAACCTCTTCTCAAAAGCTCTTAAGTCTCAGCAAGAGTTTTAGTCTTAGAGAAAATATAAATGGTGTGAGCTTTTAAAAATATTTATTAACTGACGGACTCGGTGGTAAAAAGTGGTAGCCCACATTTTAGTAGTATAAAGATTTTTCTGTCTCAGATACTTCAGAGATGCATTATTGCTTATGAAAGTGAACCAGCACTGTTATCAATAGCTTCGTATTTTGACCGAGATTCGGAGGAAATAAAAGCTCTTATTAGATATCATAATTTAGTGAAAAGAACTGAAATTTTGTAAGATGTGTGTCATCACTTTTTACTCCCGATATCTCCCAATTATAAAAAGATGAAAAATAGTACTCATAATATCCAAAACAGTCACTTTTTAAAAAAAGATATTTATATTTTGATGTATATTTAAGAACATTGTTATGTGTGTCCTCACGTGAAACTGTTGATGTTTTTTGTAAATTATTTATCTGTTTTTCTCTTATGAACAAATGCAAGAAATAACTTTTTTTTATTTGTGTTTTTCAAAAGCATGTTTTTATGAAAATTCGATTTCGCTGCAGCGAAATAAAGTTTCTCGGTAAAATACCGAGAATTTTGTACATATGTATTTTTTGTTAAATTTATTAAAGGAATGAGAAACTATTTTATGACTTTCAATTAATTTAAACGTTTTCTACATTAACATGCATTTAAAAATCTATTGTAAATGGTTTGTAGCCTTTCCAAACTAAATCCAGTTTCGAAACATCCTCACCCAGTTCAACGGAGTTCCAACTTTTCCAACGCAATTTAAAAGTAAGCCTATTCATTTAAATTATGGATTGGAAAAAAAAATCGAAATCTATTTCGGTTTCGATTGTAAACATCTTAACCACTCTCCAAACCATACCAGCCAGTTCATCAATGTTCTAATTTTTTTAATGCAATTTTAACGTAATCCAAGGCATTTAAATTATGGATTAGAAAAGAAATCGAAGTCTATTTCGGCTTTAATTGTTCGGCCAACGGTTTCCAAACCATTTCAATCAAGCTCTAAACCAATTCAGCAAGGTTCGAACTTTACAATGCAATTTATTATTTTTTCTTAATGCTTCTAAATGCATTTAATGCAATTCATTATGAAGCAGAAATTTATTATTTCGGTTTCAGTTCTTTAGGTCGTTTCAGACTACATTAATGGACTATCTTAAAATTATAAGGATTCCAAAAATAAGAAATATGCGTTACATTTTTGATATTTATACGAAGTTTATTCATACGATTTATCTTTTTACACGAAAATAAGAACAATGGTTTTGAAATTTTCACAGTGATATTCCCTCTAAACAAGGCTTTTACCTTTTAATGGTATGAACAAGTTATTTGGACTGATCTAGTTTCGATGGGCTTTAATTTACTTTTGGCAAGTTAGCCAAACAAGAGCCCTATTTTAATTTCACTATTGTCTTATTTTAACTCTGCATAAATAGTCAAAATTTAAATATTTAAAATAAACTAGAATTTTTAAAATTAAATTTAAATCTACTCAAAAGGATTAAAACATATAAAATGAGAGATAAGTTTTAAAAAAAGATTACTGAGCTGCTTTTGATTTTTTTCCTTACAGAAATCCCGTTTATTTATATTTGGATAGCTTTGTGAATAATTTACTAACATTTGATATCAAATTAGTTTTGTAGCATTGTAAAAAAATTAAGAATAGCACACTTTTTTTACAAATTTCAGAAATAATAAAATAAAAAAATTTTTAAGACTTTCAGTAAAAATAAAAAAAAATAATAGATATATTATTCACATGAGCATTATCTTTCAAAATTTCAAAAATCTTATAAATAGACGTATAGTATTATTGCTTGAGCAATTAATAGTTTGCTGTAGTTAAATAACACAATATTATTTAACTATTCACAATTTAAACCAGCAAAATTAGATGTAAGAATAAGATTGTGGTAAATAAACTCATTAATAACTTTTGATTTTTATCTAGATATTATCTAATTCACCTTTTTCTAAGAGTGTTGAACAAATTATTGAAATTAATTGCTTAACTATAAAGTCACAATAAACCCTGCNAATGTTTGAACGGTCGGCGTACCCCTGCTAAACTGTTCCCGTACCCCTGGGGGTACGCGTACCACACTTTGGGAAACACTGCTCGAAACAAAGCTTTTACTATTTAATGGGATGAAAGAGTTATTTGGACTGAACTAGTTCCGATGGGCTTTAATTTACTTTTGGCAAGTTTGACAAAATTTTTTAATTTTTAAAAAATTTAATTTAAATTTACTCAAAAGGATCAAAATATATAAAATGGGAGATAATTTTTTTTTGAATAAAAGTTTACTGAGCTGCTTTTGATTTTTTTTTCTTACAGAAATCCCGCTTATTTATATTAACTTTGTGAATAATTTACTAACATTTAATATCAAATTAGGTTTGGAGCATTGCAAAAAAATTTAGAAAAGCACACTTTTTTTAGAAATTTCGGAAAATAATAAATTAAAATATTCTTTAAAACTTTCAGTGAAAATAAGAAAAAAAAACAATAGATATATTACTTACTCAAACATTAAATATGTATAATACATTTTTTAAAATTTCAAAAATCTTGTAAATAGACCTATAACATTATTACTTGAGCAATTAATAGTTTGCTGTAGTTAAATAACACAATATTATTTAACTATTCACAATTAAACCAGCAAAATTAGATGTAAGAATAAGATTGTGGTAAATAAGCCCATTAATAACTCTTGATTTTTATCTAGATATTATCTAATTCACCTTTTTCTAAGAGTGTTGAACAAATTATTGAAATTAATTGCTTAACTATAAAGTCACAATAAACCCTGCTTTAAAACATTCTTTTATCTTCAGATAATGACAGAAAACAAAGAATAAAACCCTTTCATTCATTTTAACCCTTTGAACACACTTGGGAAGAAAATTATCAGAACAATTCAGAGCAATGAACCAACCTCAGGCATAAGATTCTTCCACCCTACGAGGCCCTAATTATCTTCGTAATTCTCGAAACAAAATGGCTAACTTTTTTCTCTGTTCTCAAACGATCCACCCGATGATTTGTTTCATTTAGTAATTGCCAACCAAAAGTTCTTTTTAGACGCCAGATAATCGATGCGATTTCTTCAGTTTTCCGGAAGTAGGTGTTTGGGCGTCGACGTCTTTTAACAACTGGCACAAATGATGGACAAAAAGATTCGAAATCGGGTGGAATAAAAGGTGGCTTATGCTCTGCTAATTTCTTTCGTTTATGTTTGTGTCCCATCAGCGATTCCTCTAAGAGTCCCTCAAGTGGAAAAGTTTTCATGGTTCTCGCTAACAAAAGCCAAACAAAACGCCCAACAGTTTGGTAACCAGGTCACATGGACTGGATGATGCTTTTCAAAGTAATCCAATACCCTGCTCATGCGAGAAAAATAATGAACATAGATCAGTCTTTTTATCCAATCTTATTTCTTATCTCAACAGGATTTAAGTAATGAAGTAGTCCTAATTTAATTGAACTAATTCCTTATGGAAAAAAAAATTTTTTTCGAAAACTCATTTTTTTTTTGGGAGAAGTTTTTGAGACGTCTAGACAAAACAATTATTATCCAATTTTTTTCTCGAAAGGTTAAAGGGAACAAAAAATAATTATATGTTTTCTTTCAAAAATAATTTTGTCCGTAGGTAAAAACGATTTCTAACAGTTATTTATATAAACAGGACATATCAATGTTTCTTCCGATCTCGTTTTCTTACCCCAACAGGATGTAAGTAATGAATTGTCCTAATTAATTTTAATGAAGAATATTTTTTTCACAAATCCATTTTTTTTTGAGTGACGTTTTCGAAATATCTATAAAAAAACAATTCTTATCCAATTTTCACCGAAACATAAGGAACAGAAAATAATTAATTTTTTTTTTCTTCAAAATAATTTTTTTTTATGAAAGACGTAATGGTTAGGATGGCTTCTAATATTAATTCACAGAAACTGGACAGATCAATCCATTTTCAATTCTAATCTCAACAGGGTTAAAGTAATGAATAAGTCCTAATTAATTGAACTAATTTTTCATTAAAAAAACATTTCATTTATTTATTGCTATTTTTATCCAATATTAATTTTTTGGAAGACTTTTTTGAAGCATCTAGATAAAATAACCCTAATACAATTTTCTTCAAAAGTTAAAGGAAAAGAAAATAACTTTTTTTTCTTCCAAAATGTTTTGTTTGAATGTTGTTATAGTAAGGATGGTTTTTAAGAGTCACATGGATGTTCTCTTTTAAAGTATTCCAACACTGCTCATGCGCGAAAATAATGGACACAGAACAGTCTTTTATTCAATGTCGTTTCTTATCTCAACATTTCTTATCTCTATAATTTTTTTAAAAAAAGCCTACTTTTTCTAAAATCTAATTTTTAAGAAGTTTTTGATGCATCTAGACAAAACAATGATTTTTCAATTTTACTTGACTAAGATTTCAAGAAACAGAAAAAATAACTTTTTATTTCATCAACATTTAAGTGATGAGTAATCCTAATTGAACTAATTTTTAATAAAAAAAAATTTAGTCACATTTTTCTTGAAACGATATTTTAGGGGAATATTTTGAAGCGTCTATACACAAAAGTAACAATTACTATCCAATTTTACTCGAATGGTTATGGAGGACATACAATAAATAAAATAATTTCATCTCAACAGGATTTAAGTAACGAGTAATCTTAATTAATGGAACTAATTATTAATATAAAAAAAGAATTTTTCCAAATTTTCCTCAAGCATTACTTTTTAGGAGAGTGTATAGAGGCTTCTAGACCTAATTACTGTTCATAGTAATTCAGTTTTATCTCACAATTTACAGGGAGCATATTCGTTCATTAATAGACAACATATCTCACCAAGATTTAAGTAATGAGTAGTTTTAATGAATGAAAGTCTTTATAATGAAAGAAAAAATCTCTTTTTCGAAAAAAAAAACTTTTTTTATTGAGGAGTTTATGAGAGGTTCAGACAAAACAATTGTTATTCAATTTTTCGTAGGTTACAGAATACAGACAATAATTACTTTTTTTTTCTTTAAATAATTATTTTCTCTGAAGATTGAAATAATAAAAATTGGCCGTAAAAATTATTCAAATAATACACACAGACATGGATTTTAAAAGTATTCTAAGAGGTTTTGCGGTAAAAGTTTTGTAAAAAATGGGGTTGCTAAGAAACTACGCTAGCGAAACGATTTATTCATTTATTTTTTTATTTTGAAAAAAGATAAAGGTTTCGTGATTTCTCAATCTCAATCAGTTTAAGTAATGAGATTTTTCATTAATTAATGTTACTAATAGTAATGAATGTAACTAATTTATTAAAAGGAAATTTATTTTTGTAAAACCCATTTTTGAGGTACCATATAGAAATTTTGTTTTCAATTTCTTTCTGAAAGTATATAAGGAAAAGATTCTAATTAAAATTTCCACAAATAATTTTTTAGGAAGGTTAAAATCGTAAAGATATCTTCGAATTGTTATTCAAGACGTTTAAAGCGTAAAGGCATCAATGTCACCTCCAATAACGTTTGATCAAATGATCGGATCTTCACGTAATGATTCTTAATGCTTTGAGGGGGAAGCC